GCCGAAGAATTGATGCTTTTGAACTGTGGTGTTGGAGAAGACTCTTGAGAGTCTCTTGGACTGCAAGGAGATCCAACCAGTCCATCCTAAAGGAGATCAGACCTGGGTGTTCATTGGAAGGACTGATGCTGAAGCTGAATCTCCAATACTTTGGCCACCTGATGTGAAGAGTTGAGTCATTGGAAAAGACCCTGATGATGGGAGGGGTTGGAGGCAGGAGGAGAAAGAGATGAAAGAGGATGAGATGGTTGGATGGTATCTCTGACTCGATGGACATGAGTTTCAGTAAACTCCAGGAGTTGATGATGGACAGGGAGGCCTGGCATGCTGCGATTCATGGGGTCACAAAGAGTCGGACACTACTGAACTGAGCTGAACTGAACTGATACCTCCAGGACTGGTCCATAAGACCTTCTCATGTTCTTTTCCCTTCTTCTGGTTTGATGGAGGTGAACACGGCAGCCTTGGAAGATATGAGTTGAAGATGAAGGAGCCACAGGATGGGCTAGCAATTAGAGGAGAGCCATCTGTCATCAGGAACACTTATTCTGGATTTCTGTATTCGAGAAATAAATGTCCACTGTGTTTGAGCTATTGTACATTTTGAGGTTTGTTATGGCAGCTAGTGTTACCTTAGCCAATATAAGAGGCGTCTGTAAATTATTTCTTAGTGATGTTGGCACACTAGGTTAACCTAATGTCTCTCCCACAAAAACCACTGCCATGTCCTGCCTTTATGTTGCCCTCCAATACAATCCATCCCCAATACTGATATAGGTCTCTGGTGAGAGTGTATTTGAATAGGATATGTAATGCCATGAGCCCTTACACCTCAATTCCTTATCTATTAAATGAGGATCATAATCCTTACTTTGTGGGCTTCCCAGATGACACAGTTGGTAAGGAATCCGACTGCCAAAGCAGGAGACACAAGAGACACAGATTCAGTCCCTAGGTCAGGAAGATCCTCTGGCATAGGAAATGGCAACCTATGCCAGAATTCTTGCCTAGTAAATCCCATGGACAGAGGAGCCTGGTGGGCTGCAGTCGACGGGGTCGCAAAGAACTGGACATGACTGAGCGCACGCAGGCATGCAGAACTCAACAGGTCGCTGTCCTGAGCAGAGTAAACACTCCACTGGGGCCAGGGGCATTCACACCCCAGAAAGCTGATCTCTTCTAGGATCGAGATGGCTCACCAGACATAACCCTTACCTCACAGACTGCTGTGCGGATTAGGAGGTGGCATGTGAAAATCTGTCAGCGGTGTTTAATACTTAACGTTAGTTCCTATTAAGATCCTGTGGGGGAAATGTTTTTGTACTTGTGTGTTTCCCCCTTTTTGTATTTCTCCTTTTGGATTCTCCTCTTTTTAGATTCCACATTAGAGTCTCTGTGAATTCTATCTCATGGAAATCCATGTGTTAGTGCCAAACTCTGGGCGAGTCCATCCTCTCCTGCTAGTCTGAGACATCTCCCACGCTCTCTAGGCCTTCCTCCAATTCCGGCAAAAGGAACGGTCTTGATTCAACTGAGGCACCAACTTCCACTGGTGCTTAGATCCACAGCTCCAGACATGAATATGGAATGATTTGGGGCTCAATTCCTGGGTCAGGGAGATCCCCGGAGATGGGAATAGCAACCTGCTTCAGTGCTGTTGCCTAGAGAATTCCATGGACAGAGGAGCCTGGCGGGCTGTAGTCCATGGGGTTGCAAAGAGTCAGATGCAACTAATCGAGGAACACTTTCACTTGCAACCTAGTGGTGGTTACTGCGGCTTTGCTAAGTAGCTGGGCTAGGATACCAGATTT